GTCAATAAAGTGGTTAAACAAGTCAAGAGCTTCAAGCACACTGTTCAAGAACACATTTCACTATGATTATATTGTTACCATCGACTCTTTCAGCCGCTAAGCTATTCTATTCCCAACGAATGGTCTGTGTTTTTAGGAATTGATAAGCACCAGACACTGGCGAATGCTCATTAAATAAGAGAAATATGATGAAATGAGCCGAATTTCGAAAAATGGGAATTGGGCCATGTGTTAGGGGTCAGCACAGAAATCCTGTCATTGATCAGGACCATAGACTGAACCATGCGCGCAGTAGTGCGCGTCAGCCAAACTGGTGAAAATAAAAACGGCATACTCGTTAGTTTAATACAAGCAAAACGCAATTTCCTGATGCGAATAAAATTTAGGTGTTGCTCATGCTTCAAAATCCATGTACAAGGAGATGAAGATGACACAGGCTAGAAATGAAGCACAACGATGTAAATGTAAAATAAAACAAAAATGAAAAAAGGAAAGGCAAATTAGTTGAAACTGGCCTGTAAATTTCTACGATCCGGCGCCAAAGCCATAGAAATACTTAGAACAAACGAGTGGGACGCTTGGGCTGTTTTTATTCTCATGTTTTGTGGGAATGCGCGGCCTCTGATGGATACTGCAGATGCAGCCGAGTTGCTCTTGAGTTCTGGCCCTCGTCATCATCTTCTGTTCTTATTTTGTAGCACCTCCAATGTTATCCGCATCAGGAAATTGCGTTTTACTTTGAGAGCGCAATTAAAGGACTTGGCAAAGTGCCAAGGAGCCGCACGCGACACGCGCGCTTACGACGGATGTTATGAAGGACGGGAATCTGCGCCGCAAAAAGGTGTAAGGCGGAGCATGGAGGAATTAGCGTGTTTCACGGTCCTGTATCTCCATTCCTGGGCATGTTTGGGCGGGGGGACCACGACACATCGACAGCTGGGGGGCTGATAGTCTCATACACCTCACAATGGAGGCCGTTCAGGGTATTTCAGGGCGTGGTGCGCTTTTCGAAAACGGTTTTCTGCATATTGTAGGGGCTCATGCAAGGACCTGAAAAGTGTGCTTCATTTTCGCTGCGCGCTTCCAGGAAAGGTAAAAAACGAGTGAAAAGAAATCTTTGGAATCTGCTTCGTTCTGGGCCTCTATACGGCGTAGGTCACTTGCAACTTTGACCAGTTGCTGAGTGGGGGGTCCTTATAAAGGGGCTATTTGAATCGAAGCGAAAAATCGCCGCAAGTGAGCTTCCAACTTGGGTCATGTGCTCAAGGGTGAACGGCTTCTTGCAATGGTTTCATCAACGATAAGAGCGCTAGCAGAGTCGAGCATCGGATGGCCTAGCGGATAGAGTGGAGGTTTCGCAATCGGACAGTGAGGGTGGGGTTGATGGTTCGGCTCCCCTTGCGTCGCGGCTTTTTGCATTTTTCAGATTTCGCTGTTCTCGCTTCCATTAGTGTCTGCGCATGAATATAACTCGGATATTTACCATTTTATTTATTTATTTATATATACACTGTATGAGTGTGCCAAGAACAAACCAATACTCAACGATAAAAGCCGAGATGATGTAGGCCAGGTTCATAGGGAGCAAGAGTTTAATGAAATAGGGTCCTTACCCGCGGCTTGTGTCAAAATGTAGCAGTGCATGCAAGCAAGACTTCTCAAGACTTGAGCAACCATCCACACCAGTTGGCTATGGCGCCCTCGTTCCAGCGGAAGTCATAGGGAACATGCCAGCACTTCGGCACACGGGTATACCAACGGCCCTCGTGGAACTGACATGGTGGATAGAAGCGGAAATAGAAAATTAAAAGGGCTTGCCTGCCTCGAAAAAAAATATCGAGCACAAGCATACGGGAAAAGGAAATCAAATGTGAGACGTAATCGCGGCGAACACCCCTATGAATCGAAGCCGGCACCATATGGCGTACAGCGTGGATAAGACAAATGAAACAAAATAGTAAAAAAATGCCATCCGCAGAGAGCTCTACAACACCATTAACATGGAGTTAGCAACAAATGTGGAACGTAAAAGCATTAAATGATCGCAACAGGAAGTATTCTTTGTACCAACCAATTGCCGTTGACCTCACCCGAAAAACATCCCCGTCTTTTGGCATCTGAATTGGTTCCATTTAGAATAAGGAGTGAAGTGAGTCCGTAATACAGATCTTCCGCAATCTGTTCTTAAACACCTTACCGTTTTCCGATCTGAGCAACTCGGGAGGCAGCTTGTCCAGCATCCTGGCCATACGATAAAAATAGGAGTTAAACATAATCGAATAGAATCTCTTTTGAATTTTCAAGTAGCTTAAGCCAAAGCTCCCTGATCTTTCACTACAGGGTCTAAAAACCCAGTATTTGCTAGGTTTTAGCCTCGTTTCTCTTCTGAGGATCCGAAAACAAGTGTGAGGTCATTGAGTAACCTCCTCTCTTTGAGGCTCAATAGTCCTAACCATTTTAGACGCTCCTCGTACTTTGGCACGCTATTCGGTTTTGTTTTCGGGTAAACTCTAAGGTACACCAGTCTTGTAAAAGTCTGCTGTACCTTTTCCACCTTGGCTATATCTCTCTTCAGGAAGGGATTCCAAATTTGAGAACAGTAGTTTACGTGTGGTAAAACGTATGCATTATACAGTCGGACCAGCGTTTTGGGTTCTTTCAGTTGAATGTTCCGAAAGATTAGGAAAAGCGCAGCGAATGCTTTTTTAACCACCTGCTCAATCTGTGAAGAAAATTTCAAGTCATTCTGTAACAAAACTCCAAGATCTTTGAGCTTACTGCAGCCTTCCAGAAAAGCCCCATTGATTTCATACCTCGGCGAAACGTTATCCCCCAAGTGCAAAAGGGAACACTTGTTTAAGTTGATCGTCAAGCCCCAAAAGGCGGCCCACTCCGACATTTTCGCTAGGGATAGCCTAAACCTTATCGAATCTTATCAGGTGTTTCACCCACCAAAAGTGTTCCCGTCCTGCCGTGTATATCACCTCTTGAAATCAAGGTTCCACGGTCGCTGCAACCTGCGCTACTAATCTGGTGATCCTCGGCGTCTAAGGCCCCTTATCAAATCATATCAGATGTTATCACTCCTGTACACCAAAAAGGTGTCACCGTCCTGCCGAGTATATCACTTCTTGAAATCACGGTCCCGCAGCTGCTGCAACTTGTGCTGCGATTTCGGTCAGCCTCCCCTTTTAAGGCCCCCTTATCGAAATCTTATGAGTGTCTATCTACCCCTGTCAACTCAACACAAACAAGTGTTGCCTGTCCAACCCCTTATAGGTCATTATCTTGAAAATTAACTTCGCTAACGCTACTGGACCGGGCGCCTATGATTCTTCGTGACACATAACACAAACACACCATCACAGCACAGACATATATAGTAGGAAGGATGACACAATCGACTGGCTTCAACAAAAGTGGAGGAAACATATATATCCTACAAGTTCAATTATCTGATCGCTCCTATATGACTTCTTTTTCCCCTCTGTTCTTCGCCAGATACAAATACTTTACAACCGAGATTTCGATGTAGAACAACGAAACACCAACCGATGCCATTGCGAACTCAAGACAGCGTAAAATGATCAGCTCGTTGTTTACCATTGATATAGTCGAAACGGAGTGATAGTGTTATCCACAAGTACGTTTCATTCCAGTTTTGTATGCAACCTACGAAGGCCAGCGAAACCAAGACCAGTGGGTTTCCCCATTCTCTGCCATGTGCGTCGTAGAAAACTGTGCTTTCTTTAGGTGTTACGCAAAGAATAGAAGATCTGCGCAAGTTGTTCAACTCATTTCATAGAAAAGAATGCAAGGAAGCCCAGAAGATTGATGAAGAAGAAGCAGCCGCTAGGTGAACATGGCGAACTCTGGTCTATTTTTATACTTCGACAAGCGTGACGATCACGAAAATACTCATGATCGCCAGCTGATTCTAGACGTTGGCTGGTGACATTGCTCAGTAAAGTAGTAAGGAAAATCGATACCGAGAAAGGTAGCAAAAAGAGTATGAGCTTGAATGTGTCTTGCTTGATAGCAGTTCAGGTGTTTCTAGCGTTCTCCTTCTTCTTCTGGAACTGAGTGTTCAGTTAGGGGTGCCATCAAGCAACAAACAAAGCTCTAAAATTATTCCCACTCATTTTGCAGCGTTACATAGCCTGTCTGCAGTCTCTCCCCCTCTAAGCCTTAGGGGGAGCGATATCCTCAAACAGAGAGCAACTTACATGTGCTTAACGTGCTGAAGATTGCTCGTAATGTATTTTGGTCTTGAGCAGGCAGAAGCTACGACGCGACGATCTTGCCAAAACATTGTTCGAAGATGTGGATGTGAAGAAACGACCAGCCGTTTCTTCAGCACGTAAAAAATCCTCGGTTCGCTGGAAAACAAAAACGAAAAGCGAGAAACAAGTGGGTTCATTGCTCGTGTTCCAGACCATCTAAATGGTAGGAAATCCTTCTATTAGAAGCAAAGAAAAACAAACATGGGAAAGGAATACACTCCACAACACAGATGATCCGTTTCGCTCGGTATCGCAGACGAATCATCATTGTCTAGCCAACCCCCGAGCTCATCAGTGCGATAGGTTGAAGACAAGAGGACATAGACTACATAGGGGAAGGTGTGAGAAATAGGACAAAAAGAGAGAGATTGTAAAAAAGGGGGGTGACATGCAAAGTTATGGCCAGAAATCCCAAGAGCCTTATCCTGCCACAGCCGAAGGTGGATTCGAGAAATAGTAGGTTCTAGGTGTTTTTCCACTGGAGAGGACTCTAAAATCGCCGAGTACACCATAGGTAGCAAGCAACCAGCGCAGCCCCTATCTCATTTGGGTGATGGAGGTCTTTGTACAAGCTTACCTACTTAGAACCTGAGAAGATGAGAAAAACTAAAAGCCGTCCATACCACCAGTGCGCAGTTTCACCACGTTGTGAACAATAAGACCGTTGCGACGACGGGGACTGCTGAATACCACTTCAATACCCTCTGTACACTTATTACCCAATTTTTAACAGCTATCCGTGGATCTGCTTCAAAACATGATATTTGCTCTAGAGTTAGGAAGCATGGCCGTGCTGTGCTCGTAGCCAGTCACTGAAACATTCCAGGTTGAGAAACCTGCCAAGCAGGAAGGTGGTGATTTGGTGAGTCTCTTGGAATCTGTAGTAGCAGCGGAAAGTTCAGCCTTGCGTGGAATACCCAAAATCGTGAATACGCTTGCATTTGCAAGCGTGCCAGCGTCAAAATAGTTAGACGCTAGACGTTGGACAAGAATGAAGCGGTTAGAATTCGGCGGAACAGATGATGGTAATTTTTCGGAAAACGGAATTTGATAATGAGTGACATAGGAGAAAATTCGATAGCTTGTAGCCTTGTAGCGTTTGTTTGCACGTTACTTCCCTAAAAGTTTACCAGGCGACTAGTTTAAAGGCGCCTGTTGTACTGCTCATCGCTTTTGCACATTTCTTTTGGCTGGCTTGTTTTCCGCGTATTGCAAAATAACGGTCGAGGATGGTAGGAGCTCATTAAGGTGTGACAGACGAACAGTTTACTCCTCATCGACAAATCCACCATTGCATATTGTGAATAAGGGCAGTGGTTCACTTACGAACCTATGGTTGCTATCTGCTCTCTTCTTCTTCTTCTTCAGCGTTTGTTCCGCTCTGAGGCGGTGTCCGCTACTTTATTATGCTACGTCACATCTCCCACTGGATGGGTGGTCTGGATGGGTGCCAATTATATCCAAGACTGCATCAACGTGTCTCGCCAGCGCTGTTTGGAGCGTACTTTAAGTCGTTTTCCGCGCACCTCGACTCTTACGGACGTCGTCAGAACTTGCGTGCAGTACATGATCGTACCATCACAGGCAAGAGTCGCGCATTTTCTCGGCTACGAGAGCTACACCGAACTTCTTGGGTACGCCGTTATTGCAAGCGCGATCTATACGCGTCACTCCTGCGCGGCATTTTCATCTCCATCATTCGGAGGCGAGCTCTAACTTCTTTGATCGTAGGCAAGCATTCAACACCGCATATCGCAGCAGGTCGAACGAGGGTTCTATAGATTTCCGACTTGAGGCGCTCTGGTATCTTCTTATCGCAAAAAACGCCAGTCATAACGCCAGTCTACTTACTAGGGAAGGTCGTCAGGTCGAAGTGGCCATTTGTGATGAGATGTAGATCACTAGACGTGGTTTTGGACGCTGATCTTGAATCTGCCTTCAAAATTTGCAAAGCGATTCTCTGAACGGAGTTATGGAGCCGCGTTTACCACGCAACAGGTCATGGGATCGGATCCCTGCTGAGCTTAACTTTTTTGCTTGTTGCGCAAACGTGGCAAAAAGTGATTTTGCCGTCACTACTACTTCAGTTCTCACCTGAGCTTGTCTGAAGAAAAGTTTGCCTTCGAGCAACAGTAAGAGTTTATTCTACAATGAAGGACGAGAGCCTCAAGTAATTCAATCATTCATAAGCTGAGCAGATGTCAGGAGTAATTCTGTAAATCTCGAGCGAACGCAGTCCTGCTTAGCTGTATTACATCACGTTGATGGCTGCTGTAAGCTACTTTTCGTTGATCGCTAAATTTTTATACCAGTCCATTACCCCTCACTGGACATCCAATATCGTCAAGGGAGGCTGATAAGTTTTATGCACGACGCAATATATTTTATGGATTGGTCAGTCTTCGACCACTGTTCGACACAGCAGTAAACGATAAAGGCTTCACCCGCGTCGAATAGGGCGTGAGTCCGCAGCCGCGTCACGTATTGCACCCAAACTTACGCCTAAACATTACTGTGAGCCATTTGCTCCCTACTGAACAGTCGTTATTGTACTACCTGGCAGTCCGAGACCACCCCGTCTCGGACCCACCACTATCACCGAGGCCACCCCACCTCAATAAATATATTAGGCTGCGTTTATACTTTGCGGCAGCGTAGCGTAGCGTAGCGCAGCGTAGCGTAGCGCTTCCAGCGTACGCCAGCGGCAGTGCCGAAGAGAGGATGCATATCGATCTAGCTTCACCAGCGTCACCAGCGGCACGCTGGCGTACGCTAGAAGCGCTACGCTACGCTGCGCTACGCTACGCTACGCTGCG